CTCGAAAACTCGGCCTAATGTGGACCGAAGGGTGGCCGAGTTTGTGAAAATGCCGGGTTATCGGGAATGGGGTTAAAAAAAATAAGTATGAGTGTTTCCTCAGAAAATACTGTACTGTACTTGTATGTATTGTTTACTTGAGAATACAACAGAGAATAAACTGCCCAAATACCCTTAAACAAAGGAAAAGTATGTCCTTTATGAAGGCATAGAGCCTTTACTACATGAAAATGAAAATTAATGAATACACTGTGTACAGTAATTTACCTGATAAGACAGACCTCAGAAAAATACTTTATGAGGCATAAAGCTATCTATAATGAAAATTAATTAATCTAAGGATTTTTTTGCCCTGCCAGGGTGTGGCCGAGTTATCCGGACTGCCGGGTTATCGAGTGCCGAGTTTTCGAGACTCTACTGTACTTGCTTAATTGAATATTCAGCTCAAACTGGACATCATAAAAATTTATACCCAAATTTTCAATATTTGTTTTATTTACTATAAATTTTTCATGCAGAATCATATCTATCACAGTTTTGACTTTGCCTAGAATTCATGCAAATTTCATTACATCAAAATAACTTAATTTCAATGCTTTATCAGAGAACATAAGAGATAAAATGCTCACTAAATCCTGAATAAATTCAAACCTTTTGATTCATTGGGGGAATCTTAGAATATTATGTCTTGTTAACATTTCTTCTAACAAATTTTTATGAAATTAACATTCTAAAATTTCCTGTGATGTCAAAGTCTACCATACTGTTAACAAACTACAGTAAAACTTGCTTAAGTGGGAAGAATTCTTTATAACACAGTGATTTTCTCTGTTAAAAAAAACAACCTGTTCAAAATGGAAACCTGCCAACCAGGAAAAAATATTCAGCACCACAAGTCTGGTTTACACAGGTTTTACTGTATATGAATTTCATTCTGGTTCCCATTTAAAGGGGAATCGTCGATTGAATTCTGTTTAAAAGAAAAATTCAACAGATTCAATGCAACTGGAAAAGTATCGTATACAGCACTAACACTGTAAAAATATTTTTTCAATAAAAACAATTTAAAACTTAAGTTATATGAGGATATGTAAATATAATTTATTTAAGTTATAATCTCATAATTCACTGTTTAATATTTCAGTCTACCCATTTCATGACAATTTTGTTTTTAGACTAATGTATATAAACATATTTAAGTTAATTAAAGCCAGAAAAATTCTCTCACATCATGGTTTTTAGTGGATAGAGTCAAGCTATTCAGACTTAAGTACTCTCTTTTATCGAAAAATACCATTGACTGCAGATAGCCACCAGAGTTGGATCCACAGGAAACACCTTCGGCATTACATGCGAAACTTTAGTGTATTCTTAAAATAGAATGCAAGAAAGATCACATATTGCAGTTATTAGACTATATAAGATAGAAGGTATATTATAATAGAAAATTCTTACCTGTAGCAAAAAAACTGTAATGTTAACAAAATTGCATAATGTGAAGTACGACCAATTTCTTTCAGTCAGAAATTTTAAAGCATTTTGAAATTGTAAAGTTAAATTATGATTACTTCCTTCGCTAGTCAATATCATTTAATTCTTCCATCAAATTGCTTCTGTTGCACACTACATCCAGGATAAATAATTTTTTTCAATATTTTCTAGCATTTCTAATTCATCTGTACTAGGCTTATTTCTTACAACACTTTAAAGAAAGAATTTGTTGCAATGTGAGAGCTAACAAATTAAACCGCCTACTAAATGGTAGAAAGGTTAATTTTGTTAGCTCCAAATGCTATAACTTGTACAGTAGTTGGAGCAATAAATTCTCTGGGTTTAACTTGAAAACAAGTAAATCTGCATATTAAATGCATTGGTGTAAACAGCCATTAATAATTTTTAGTGATGGCTTATTTGTTAAGATCACTAAATGATTCCTTTTTTTGGTAAGTTTTAATCTCAAAATAAAGAAAAAATTGGCCCCTCTAAAATTTTTAAGAAAGCCCAAGAGGCTTTTGTAACTTTTTTCTTAATGTAGAATTAAAATTTCACACTAAAAACTGATTTTTAATGATAAGGACACATAGGAACATGGAAACACTGCACTAGACAGGCAATTTCATGTTCTGTAAAAAAAAACAATAGTTAATTTAAGAAAGTTATATAGATGACGTCAATTTGTTTCCAAGGTGGACAATTGGTAGCAGTTTGTTTTTAAGCATTATTATTTAAAATAAATTATGTACACTAGAACTCTGTTTACATTAAGTAATCATAGTTTTTCTTATAGTTATTATCTTTGGGTGAATAGGCATTTTCGTGCAGTCTTTTTTGTTCTTATCGACCTTGAAATTTGGCCAATAAAACTTAATTTTTATCAATTTAAAGTAATCAATTCTTGTTATAGCAAGTGTGCAATAGATGCATTTTTAAACATCACTGTTTCCACGATGATGACAATGCTCGTCGTAGCTCTGTTGGCCGGCCTCGTATTTAATAGGGTGGCCAGACGTCTGGCTTTTGAGTGTTCTGTCCTCCATCCGGCGGCATCTCGAGCCGGACATTAATTTGTCCTCCTTTTTGGGGTTCGCCTAAAAATAATAATAATACAGTATTTCAAAAAGTAAGAATTTTTATTTTTATGAAATTAATAAAAAATTAAAATTGAATCTGAGTTTTAAAAGAGAACAAACTGTAAGAAATGTAGTGAAGGGTAACTGTTCTAGGGAAAGATTTCCTGCCAAAATCCCACCTCATGAGAAACTGTTTTAAGATTTGTTGGTCATTTATGCCAGATAATCACTATACTTAAAATGAAACTTCCAATGTTATAAAGTGAAAACTTCATAACATTGGAAGTCTAGGTGTGAAGATAGTTTGTGCCTCAAATACCTCAACCTGATGAGAAATTCTCTTGTGGAGCTGCATGCACATAAACAGTGTATTAACATTGTACTCAATATCTTTTTCAAAATGCCCAACCTAATGTTTAAAAATGTACAAATGATAACATATATTCAGGTTTAAGACATTTAAAGACAGATTGCTTAAATTGCTGATATTCTTTCTTCAACTATACAGTAGCCATTGTTAGAAAGTGCTGTTACTTGTTACAATACAGTATTTGTTAAAGTTTTCCACATTACACGTGTGAATGATGTCCTTATAGCATTAAACATTTAGGTTAAAGGTTTATACAAATTTGAATGATTTATTTATGAAAACCATTCAACTGAACTCTTAATTTTCTCCTGTATGTCTGCTTACTGACATAACTCAGTGGATTTTTTTCTTCTGTAGTTATGAAGAAAGACTTAATACCTGTGATCTTTTATTACTAGAACATAATATCTGTTCAAAGAATTGAACAGGCATCAAATGATTGAAAGCACTAGTAATTTTTTTTACTCTATTTATTAAATTAATAATTATGTACAGTCAAAAAATAACTTGATACGGGACTCCATTTATACATAAGTCAGAAACCATAGGAGTCATGTTGATCTTTGTTTATTTTTTTATAGGTAAAGCATGGTGCTGAGTAGAGGAACAAATTTATTTTTATGGTGGGGACAGTAACAGTGTTAAGAAAATTTTTCATTCTGGAGAGAGCAGAGGTAGGATGGAGCATTGTTTTGGGTGGGTGGGTGTTATATGCATTTTATCATCGAAAAACCCATTTTAAGAAATCAGTGTATTTAACAAGAACATGTATTTACTTGGCAAATAATTCACATTTATAGAAACCCTCCAATAATAGTCAATAGGCTAAAGGTAGACTAAAATAAATTATTCCAGGGTGGATGAAATATTAGGCTGTGCTGGCATCCAACTTTGCCCCACCATAGCATAGGGACCTGCAGTCAGTAAGAAAGTTTATCAGGCTCCATGCAGATTGTCATGTGTGATTGGTGGGAAGTCTGGATGCAGCCTATTAATTAAACTCTTTGGCAACTTCTCATCATTTGCAGGTCTCCTATTAAAATAACTAATTCATTCTGACACCTTGCCATATCTATAAAAGAATTAACTCAACTCCAATCAATCCAGACTTATGGAATACCTTTATATATCAAACATTTTACTTTCAGACCATAGGCAACAAATTTTCAATGATCAACAACCAACATCAAGCAGGATAGACTATAATGTAGAAATTCTGATTTTGACTCATTTATAGTGTTTTTTGTAATACTGTCTTTAAACAACTATCTCTAATTAAAGTAAGAGCAATTTATAAATCTGTAATATGAGCAAATATTAAAAATTCTTATTTACCTGATGATAACTATACCTATTATAACCAGAATTTCAGTTTTGTAAATCTATTTTAATTTATATGTTTAGGGACATGCTAATCATCATAATAATAATAGTTTCTTCTCTGAGGGATGTGACTTCAAATTATTTCTTTTTGCATTATATAGACGTGGTTATTAGAATTAGAGTGGAAACTTATAACTAAATCTGTTGATTTTAGCACCATGAAATTAGATCACATTTCTGTAACATTATTAGACTGAGTAAATTACTTTACCTTCAAATACAGTATTTATTGCTTAAGTGCAGTGCTCAGCATACCCAAACTACAAAAGTTTCTGGATTATCTACAAGACCCCTGGCCCCATAGTTTCTACTATATAGGATTGTTTATTGTATCAAATATTTTTTTGTCTATTTTATTTGGAATTGAATATAGCAAGATACTTCAGAGTATATGCAGTAAATGATGCTTAACTGTATCGAATATAAATTAAGATAGTGAACTAATTGTTGTGAAACTTTATAGATTGTAAAATCATTGACACACTATTTTTATTTACATTTACTTTGTTCTGTGGGCACTAAGAGGATCTTTTTATCAAACCAATTATGGGTTTGGCCAGGTCCACAATGGGACTAGACATATTCGACACACCCTCCAAAATTCTGAGGTTTCTTGAGCTGTCTGAATTTGATCCTGGGTTTTCCAGAGTGGTAGGCTGCCATCCTAGCTGCTCAGCCATCAATTTGGAAGATCCAACAGATTTAACTCATTTAATTAGGTATTCTAGATCCTATATGGGAAGGAGATTGTTTTATTTTGTAGCAATTTCTTTTCTAGAACAGTTCAATTGTTTATAAACTGATTATCAGAGGGAGATAATTATGTTACTAGCCCATTTACATTACGTAAATGATTTTCATTCCTATAATCAGGATGTATATTAACTCAAGCACAGTTTGATTGTCATATCACAAATGCTAATTCAAAATTAACTTATATGTACAATTTTCACATGAATTTAAAATATTAAGTGGACAATCATAAAAATCGTGAGACCATATAATTTCTGGAAAATTGCAACAGTGTTTGCTATAATGATTAGTTTTTAACTATATAATATCCCTGAAGTAAAATAAATAAAATAAGAAAACTATAAAAATTGTCAATTCAAAAACTTTATTTGTTTATGAAAACTCATTTCAAAACAAATTATTCCCAACCGTCTGCGGCGGCTGCACCCCAATCGCTACTGGCTGGTTGATTGGCCCAGTCGGACGGTGTCTCTTGTACCGACCAATCTTCTCCTGGAGGGAAGTTTGTAACAGGAGCTGGGGCTGGAGCGGCAGGTTCGGTAGACCACTGTAAAGAAAACGTCAAATTTAATCTACAGTTCAAATTGATTTAATTGCTGACTATATAAATTAGAGACCAGGTACATAAAAATTAAAGCTCAAAGGGCTGCAAACAGTTTAGTTTACATAGCATGACTTCATGCCCAACTGAACAGCTACATTCCTAGAGTATTATCTTACACAACTTAAAACACTACTTTTTTTTTATAATTAATACTTATGAACAACTCACATCAGTTACTTCTGCTGGTTGTGGAGCAACATCTGCAGCACCCCACTGGTCTGAAAATTCTGAAGGATCTTTAAATGGTTTTATATCGGCCTGTACTTGAGCCTGTTCCTCCTTTTCGGCCTAAGAAAACATGAAAAATGTTAAGCTTTATATTATTAAACATGATCAATTTTATTGACAATACTCACTTCTTCGGGATCACGGTAAAAGTATAAATCCACCATGACATCCCATTTGGTCTCATAGCTCACAGTTCCTCTTAGTCTCAATACTTGTCTAGCAAGCATCCACCACATTAAACCAATTGAGTGTATACCCTAAAAAATGAAAAATGTTGATAAATCATGTCTAGAAACAGTGTCTAACATCAATAATGAAGTACTAACCTTGGTGTTGCATGGTATGGCAATATCTACGTATCTAAGTGGAGAATCTGTGTTACAGAATGCAATGACTGGAATATTGACATAAGATGCTTCAGTCAAAGGCTGATGATCTATGCGAGGATCGGTTACTACGAGAAGCCTAGGTTCTCTAAATGCAGCCTGAATCTGATTGGTAAATGTTCCTGGAGTGAAACGGCCAGCAATAGGAGTGGCTCCAGTTGCAGCGGCAAATTTCAATACGGCGCGCTGACCGTACGGTCGAGCGGAAATAACACAGACGTCTGCGGGATTTTCAATGGCCACAATTGCCCGAGCAGCCAACAATAGTTTTTCCCAAGTTTTCTTCAAATTAATCAAATAAACACCTAACAAAGGAGAAAATTAGTATAAAAAGATTTAAAAAAAAAAAAAAAAACCATTATTACAAGACTGGAAATTTACCATCTGCTCTTCTTTTGAACACATACTGTTCCATTTGAAAATCGAGATTATTTGACCCAATATGGGTACTTGATGCCAAAAATTTCGAAACATCATCGTCTTTAAGTGAAAGCACGCCTAAACCTCCTGACATCCTTCGTTGTCAAAGTGTAACGACAGCAACCTAACATGAGAGAAAAAACTATTAATTATAAAATTGTGCACCCACAAGATGAAAAATAACTAAACAAAATACATTTGGTGTTAAACAGAGACTACATCAATGGTTAAATATTTAATTGTGTTTGGTACTGCCATGTTCTGTTGCATATGTCAGTACAAATATCAGTTCTTAAAATAAGTTTAAATCTACAAAAAAAATCAAAGAAACTAAATTGTCTTCTTTTCAAGGCCGCTATTTTCTGATGATTGGATGTGGCGGAAAGAAGACAATTTAGTTTTTTTTTTATTTTTTTTGAAAAATACCATCAGTCATTTTAATTAAAAAGTTTAAAACTGTCAATCAAATATTTTATCACAAAATCTTGGGAGATTGATAATCACTGTAAACATTTGAATTCGATGAAAATGTAGTCTCCCATATAAAAACAGAATTCTGTAGAAATACATTTCCTATTAATACTGCATCAGTTTCTCTACAAGAGAAACTAGATAAAATTTTATCTTATTTATCATGTGATAAAGAACTATTTTTTTCAGGTATTAAATAAAATGCCTTAAGTTAATAATTAAAGATGAATGGATGAGTAAAGGCATCAGCTTTGCCACCCTGGGTTCATGTCTGGGCCAGGATCCTCAAGAGAGACCAATAACTAAAATTACATACAATATAAAACTTTGATATAGATGACTGAGATGGTTGAGGCATAAGCTTAGCCTGCATTCATACCACTGACAGTGACCACAAATCCTAAATGACAACAGTGTGTCTTTCATCACATTCAATCATTGCCAAAGCGTTCACATTGTTTGTTAATTTTTGTATTAGAGCATGTACAATTTACATTAGGCTTAGCATTATTCCATGGCTTTCTGCACTTTTAGACCAGACTTATCTGTTTTAAAATTGTATATGCAGAATAAAATGTTAATTTTTAGACGTCAGCAACAGAATTTATCACTTTTGTCAAGGAAAATATCAAAGGCAAATCAGCCATTCATATTGAGGAGGAAAAAAAAGTGGGCCATATCCATGCTTTGGTCCAGGAATTACAACTAGAAGACAAAGGATTTTTAAAATTATTTTCATACTTCTCCAAATACTTTCAACCATTTAAGCCTCATAGGCCTCTTTCTTCAACATAATATTAGCAGTCCCTCCATTTGGTAAGATTCAAGCTCCAAATGAGGGGTTTTCTACTCCCCCTGTATGAGCAGAAAAGTCAAAGGAACCATACCTGTACATGCAACCCTTTACAGGATATTTGCCTGCAAAAGTCAGTTTTTAATACAGTCGACCCCCCCTATAACACTGTTGATTTTTCCGTTTTATATGAATTCCATGTTGTATGAGTCACTTAGATTTTACAAATACGTGTGCCGAGCTGTGAACAGCTCATGTATTTGTATTAGTACACTGCTTATTCTCCATGCACCATGTTGTCATCAAGGCTCACCACGCTCTGAATGTAGTCGCACACTTTGGTGCCCACTATTGCTTGAACCTCAGCACCCAAGTGGGGGCAAGCCCCACATCCCCTAAAACTATATAACATCAAGTGAGCTACTCAAAGCCAGCAGTCACATGGGATAAACCAGTGTTTCCCAACGTGGGGCTCACACCCCACAGGGGGCAATTTGAAAATGGACTCACCCAGAGTTTAAGTTAAGCCACTGTATATGTTAGGGAGGCATAAGAATTTTAGAAAGGCTTAGGTGGGCATAGCACAAAAAAGGTTGGGAAACACTGGGCTAAATAGTTAAACACAATGTGCCTCGCTCTGCTATGACTAATCTCTCACAACCCAATTTTGGGGAGTTGTGTCTTGCAAAGGGTCGCTTGTAGAGGTATCATCTTTTGACTTTTTCGCTCCTGTAGGTATGCTCCACAGCTCTGATAAGGTCCCAAATGTCTTATTCAGAGTTTGAATTGCCCTCTGTTTTGTTCAAAGAATCGTGGGAAGTTCACTTTGATCAGCCGATACCATTACGACAATGACAAGTGTCGAATCTCGGCTAACTTTCAAACAACAAAAGACAACAATAAAAGCATCGGTCATTGTCGCCGGCAGTGTGAATGGAGTCTTACTACTCGATATGACCCCCAGCATCTCCAGGAAATTTTCACAAGCAGTCTGTTCTGGATATGTCGGGATCCATTCCCTACCACCCAACCGCTCATTGTGGAGCCTGGCCAAACCCGCACAATGGATTCCTATCAATAAAAGGGGAGGGCACCAAAAAACTCTTGGTCTGACCCCAATTACATCTTTACAAATTCATAAAAATGTACAGACTATAATAATAATAATAATAATAAAATCATCAAAATATTTTAATTAATAATTTTCCTCAAACAGTAAAAATAATTTGAAGATTTTCATTTTAAACGCCAACTTTCTTTTAGCATTTTGCTATAACATAACATAACATTAATAAGTTATAAATTTTATAGGACAAAAGCGACCACGTGGACGTTAGGCTTAAAGTACGTATGGTGAATTTTGTCGTTCTTCAGACATTTTTAAGAAATTACCTTATATTTATAATCTGAAATCACAGAAAAAGTAATATTAATAAGAAAACAACTCATAATTTATCCGAAAATAACGCATTAAATCACTTCATAGTTCCAAATCATTAACTTACGGTAAATAAGATGCCGCGAGAAGGTTCACCTCCCAGAAAATGGACGGAAGACGATGCGAACGAGATTAACCATTCGTGGCACGAGGAAAAATAACTTAAAACGCATAAAATCGTTAAAATAATAAAAAATTAATACAAAAGTACGCAAAATTTAAAATAATAAACATCAAAATCGATTAAAAAATTAAAAAAAACTTTAAATAAAAAATAAAATAAAAAAAAATCAATCGCTGGTTCGTACGTCGTTCACCAACATAACCGCAAAAGCGATAATGTCGTGATTTATACGTTAAATCGCATTAAAAATCACCACGTTTAAAGTAAACGATTAATTTCAATAAGGAAGGCATTAATTTAATAAATTGCTCTAAAATTTAAACTAGATTTAACGTTTTAATTACACTTTGCCCAGTTTAAACGAGTGGTCGGTAACGTGATTGATAAAGCGGTTAGATAAATGTTTAGATTCGGTGAGGGGACGTAAGCCTAATAAGTCCAGACGAGGAAATAATAATTTCCTTTTATATATTACAGAAAAAAGGTTTCGAAATATAGAATAAGAATCGAAGGCAGCGGGTCGACATGCACCTGCCAAGTAAGGTTTTGTCCCGTTTAATTTCTATTTAATTTAGTTATAATTTTGTTTATAAAGTGTTGTGCACCAAGTATAAATATTTGTTACTGTCGATGATGTAACCTTTTTTCTTGTATATTTTTTTTGTATTTTTTATTTTCTTTCTCCGTCTACGTCTTGCGTGTCGTGTTTTTCGAAGATTACCGTTTGCAGGTAAGAAAATGGTAGCCTTGGATTATATAAAATGTCTGGTTTGACCAGTTTGTAGATCCATGCTTTGCTGGTGTCATGTCGGTGAGTGTGCGCTTTGCACTCGCAGACTCTATACTAATTACTGTATGGGTGTAAGATGCGGTCTCGTCGGGGCTCCTGCAGGAGCCGATGGGGCATATGCGTCGTTTGCGGAGTGCAAAGGCGGCCGTGTCTTTGGTGCAGAATTTCGGCATTTCTCTCCCGGTGTCAGTCGGTGTTGAACGAACCGACGTGCCGTTAGGTTTTAATGATCGTACTGCACGTTGTTAAAGTCAAAGTGGGTGCTACTGCGCCGAGGAGTGGCAAAAAGATGCGGGGAGTATCGGATGCGGAAATGAATGGTGACTGCAGATCCAGGTTTGGGTTGCCGACCTTACCCGTCCTTTGTTAGAATGGGTGAAAAGAAACATTACGTTAATGGTTTCTGGATGTGGAGAATAATTCAGGGCAAGGACTCAAAGTGTGAGGGTCATAGAAAAGTTTTTCTCGTGCAAAGGAAAATGGGTGGGGTGTCGGGTATAAGTTTATGGAACCGAGGGGCAGTGGCTCAGGAAAAGTTTGGGAATTGTCGTTATGGCCAGATGATGCGGCAGATTGTTCAGCATTGGTTTAAACAGGCCTGATCTTTGGCATTAATTAAGGTACCTTATAGCCAGATAATGCAGCTGATCATTTGGAGTTAATTAAAAAAGTCTTGTTACATTTGTAGCCTGATAATGCAGTAGATTGTTTGGCATTAAATAAAAATGTCTTCTTGTAACTGGATAATGCAGCAGATTGCCAGAACATGGGGATTGGTTGCTCGTTGCATTGATGTCTACTTAATGGTCATGCTTGGAGTAAAGGACAAGTTTGTGTAGTTTACTGAATCATGGTTTTGATTTTTACAAAAGCCGACACATTAATTAAAACTTGAGTTTGTGGAGTTATTCTTTATATACCAATGTTGATTGGTATGGATGAATAATTCTTCATATTTATGTGAATAAAGTATAGCTACTTAAGGAAACCAAATTTTTCATTAATGGAGAAATGTTTCAGGACTTTATTTGGACAAACTGGCTGTATTTTATTCTTAAAAATATCAAAATTGTACCAAGCCTTACAGAAATTTGTAATTTATCATAGTTTTTATGTTACAAACTCATTATTTGCTTGTGTTTGGATTGGATTATTGATCATTTCTGTTGATTTTAGAAAAGTTTACTTCAAACAACATTACAAAAATGAATATTGGCATTTGAAAATATATATTCAGTTTTTAGACATACTAATATAAATTTTTGGATTGTGTATTTCTTGAAGCTACAATTATTTATGCCAACTCTATATTTGTATTACAGTAAAATTCTAAAAAATAAAAAGAAACTAGGCAGAAATTTCTTTCCCCTGCTAAAAATAGAAAAGCAATTGTCAAATGTTCTTCATTTAAAAGTTTTCATATTAGAAATAACATAATAAATTAAAAAAAGTAATATTTGAATATAATTATTGATGTGTAGAATCTGAATGCTGAATCTTCTACTGTGCTTTTTTTTTTTTAATATTTCAGTAAAAATTCCTGAAGAAATATGAAGAAAAACTGTTTTCCTAATAACGAACAAAATTTTTCATGTTCTTTTATTACATTTATAGTGATTAAATAAACAATGCTGACTATGCAATTATTATTTTATTGTACGTAGACTGATAACACATCTGGGCTGGCACTTTTAATAGAAAATAAATCACACCACCAACACCAATAATGAGGAAAATGAAAAATTTTTACTGTAACTAACAGCAGAATCTTTCTTCATTTGACAAAACTGTCTCAGCTGAAACATCTAGAAAGGGTAGAAATCTACAAAGCCTTCAGGAGAGGAATGTCAGTTAACTTCAGGGAGACAGACTATTTTGTCAGCCTGGAGCTTACTGTTTACACTGGCTTAATTCAATGAAGCAATATAAATGACATTCAAAACTTTGTGCGCTCAATCTGTAATTTACAAAACATTCTGTTCTAAGATTTTAATTTTTTTGTTCTATTAGTTAAACCTGATGATGTCTGTTATAAGTAGAAGAAAAACATCACTTACAGTAAAAAATTTTCATTTTGTTGGTTATTGGTGTTGGTGGTGCAATTTATTTTATGTATTAAGCTCGTAATTTGATTGGTATCAGGTAATACTGTGTGGAATTGGCTGTATGATGTGGAAATTTTTGTTAAAAAATAATTTACCTAGAAGCATTATTAGTCCCTATCCTAAAGATATATCAGTGCCTAATTCCAATAAATATCCCAACTCTTTAATCACTTTTGAGTTTTTTTCTTATGTTTATATCCATGGAGTCATATCTCTTGCATTGTTAGAGAGAGGAAAAAAATAAGAAGCATTAATTATAAGAATATGAAATAAGTTCTATAATTTGATTAGATAATACATGTTAACTTTAAATATTTGCCTAATTGAACTACAATTTTCAAACTGTAGACCTATAAATTCCCACTGTCATCCATCTGTTTGTCCATCCTTTGTTAATATCAAGAACAGTGTTATATAGATGAAAATTAAGACCAGATATGGAAAACTTAGTGTCTGGAGGCCCTGATCAACTACTGTATATACAAATTTCCTGTCTGGACCAGAAGTTGTGTGATTTTAACTAAAGTTAGAAAAACCTGTGAAATTGTTGTATTTAGAAAACTTACAATACTCAGCAGATTTGTTTCAGAATATCTGCTTATCATCCTGGTGACATAACTGAAATAAAACAGAGGTCAAAAATATACTAAAGCCATAATGGAATCTCTAATTATACCTATTTGTTATATATTTTGTCTACGAGGACTTAGCCTATTAATAGACAAAATATATAACAAATAGAAAATAAGGACATAGAGGTATATAAATTAATTCTAATTATACCTATTTCATGTTAGCTTAATGTGTTGTTTGATTTTATCAATGTTAAGTAGTAAAATAAACATGTTATGATAGATAAATTTCAAGATTATTCTCATCATAAGCAATGAAATAAAACAAATTGCTATTGCTTTTTTAATAGGCAAAAAATATTACAAATATTAATATTCCAGTTCGAGATTTTTATGCAATTATTTGATGATAATTGTTTTTTTTCTAAGTAATAACAACTAGATTAATTTTCTCTTTCAGATTAAAAAGATGATTTAAAATAGGATAATTAGAATACAGGTATCATGGTTAATTAATCCTTCAATCCTATCGTATATATCAAAAGTGCACTAATCAAAAATATGATATCTATGTTAAGTAAATACAGCTGGTAAAGCAGCATAAATTAAAACTTTTGCCTTATATATAAAGGGATTGCTACAATTAATTTTGCATGTTAATCAAATCATATGTTAAGTAAAACCACATGAAGTGAGGAATTCCTAGATATTGCAAGGATTTTATAAATTTTCTGTGCTTAAATTGTTTAAAGTTTAATTTATACTTGAGATAAATGTTCAGTAAATATTTATAAAACAATTTGTTACAGATAATGTAAGATTTTGGGATACTTTTCTACTGTTTGTAAATATTACCTTTATTTAAAATAAACATCAAACTAATGCTCAGATTTATATTAAATTATAATGATCTTCATAAATGCTTATTAAATCATATGCTACATTGTCCCATTAAAAGACTAAAATAAAACATATCATCTTACTATCTGATAATGTGAATTTGGTAGAAGTTAGTGGTGTTATCTTCATGCAATTATGATAACATGTTCTATCAGTCTGCAATGGGCATATATGTAAAATGTAAACATTGCAGTTTTACAAAAAAGAAATACACCTTCTTCAATTACAGCAAAATACTTTAATTTACAAACATTTTCAGCTATTTTCTGCTCCTACTCTTGTTTTCTGGCGAGCATTGTTCACTAAATTTGACTTACTTAACCGTGCTTCTGTGATATCCTCATGGTATGTGCTATCCCTGTGATTGTTAAAAGTTCAATTGAAAAAAATTTTTCTGCTTATCACAGGCCCTTAAAAAATTGCTGTAGAAAATCACCACCTTATACTTGTGGTTAAACACAGTTTTTCTTTTATTCTCACACATATGCATATGCAAGGCGGCAATTTCTGCTCTGATATCATTTTTGATGACCTGATGTTATGGAGGGCTTATATGATTGCTACAAGAGGTAGTTTTGACATCAAGGATGTTTGACAATTATTCATGATTTGTTTTTTGAGACCGTGTCCTGTTTTATATTTGTGGCGTAGTAAACACTAGTATTGTGTTTTATTCCAAAGACACATGGCAAATTTTCCATCAAATTCTTTTATTAGTTGAGTCGACTCAACTAATAAAGGAATTTGATGGAAAATTTGCCATGTGTCATAAAACACAATACTAGTGTTTACTACGCCACAAAAATTATTCATGATGTAAAGAGGCAGGTTACTATGATCTGGAATGCTTGTCTCCATAAGATAGTCTGGTGCAAGATGATCTTCAACAATTTAAATATTTTACTGCTTTATTGCTTGAAAAATCCAAAAATATCATTTTCTGGTTCTTCTGAGAAAAACCTCAGCCCTCCCGTTATTTATTTTCAGCTTACAAGTTAGTCCATGCTATTGAAAAGTTTGAAGGGTAGGGTGATCAGCCATCCCATTTTTCTACATTGTCCTGTTGTCTTTTATTTCTTTATTTTTATATTTACATCCCAATCAGTATATTTTGAGTGATTTCATTTGATCATTTGAATGAATTTGTGTGTCTTTATGAAATCAGTTAGGA